AGGCAGACACTGGAGTGATAGGTCTACAAGCCAGAGAATGCCAACGATTGCCAGTAACCACCAGAAGGGGGAAGAGGCAAGGAAGGATCATCCTCTAGAGCTCTCAGAGGGAATATGGCCCTACTGATACCTTGATTTCAGACTTCTCATCTCCGGAACTGTGAGAGAATACATTTCTGTTGTTCAAAGGCACCCAGTGTCTGGTACTTTGTTATGGCAGTCCTAGAAAACAAATACACTTGCCTAATTTTTCTGCATAGCACTTATCATCTGACATGCTAAATATTCATTTTGTTTATTATCTGTTTTCTCTCATTAGAATATAAGATCTGTGAGATCAGGGACTTCGTTCATACTGATTCTCTAGCATTAAGAGAGTGCCTGAGGCTGGGTGCAGTGGCTGACGCCTGTAATCCCAGCACTTTAGGAGGCCAAGGTGGGCAGATCACCTGAGGTCAGGAGTTCGAGACCAGCCTCGCCAACATGACGAAGCCCATCTCTACTGAAAATACAAAACTTAGCTGGATGTGATGGCATGCACCTGTAGTCCCAGCGACTCAGGAGACTGAGGCAAGAAAATCGCTTGAACACCCTAGAGGCAGAAGTTGCAGGGAGCCAAGATCACACCAATACATTCCAGCCTGGGTGACAGAGTGAGACTCAAAGAAAAAAAAAAGAAAAAAAGAGGGTGCCTGGTACATAACAGATGCTCAATAAATATCTCCCAATGGATGAATGAATAAAGGATATTTACCATTCTGTGTCCTACGTTAGACACCATGATTTTTTAGTTTGTCTTTTGCTTTTTAATTTTAAGATAGTTTTTGATGTGAAGTTTTATTGTTCAAATTAATATTTTTGTCAGTGGTTTCTGTCACCTATGTTATGTTTGAAACCACTTTTCCCAGTCTCACGGTCATATATTCACCTTATTTTCTTCTTAATCTTTCATAGTCTAATCCTTTTTAAAAATGTTATAAAAATTATGAAAAAAGAAAAGTAGAGAGAATAATGTAACGTGCAGTGTGCAGTTTCATTGTTTATATTCAGCCCTCTATCCATCTGGAATTATTTTGATGTGTGGGATGTGGGAGAGCTCTAGCTGTTTGTTTTGTTTGTTTTCAAAGATAGCTAACCAAATATTCCAGCAAATTTTATCGACTAATCCATCTTTTCTTTACCAATTTTGAATAGCTCCTTAATGATAATCTAAATACTTACATATATTTCAATCAAAATAGAAATCTCAACAATAGACTTTTTTTGCATTAGCATCACTTTTTAAATGCTGCTTTATAATAAGTTTTAATAAACGTTAATACATGTTCCTCTTTGTGATTTTTGGGCAGTATTTTCTTTTTCATTAAAAACATTTTTTTTTAGAGACAGGGTCTTGCTATATTGTCCAGTCTGGTCTTCTGAGCTCAAACAATCCTCTAGCCTTGGCCTCCCAAAGGACTAAGATTACAGGCGTGAGTGGCTGTGCTCCGCCTCCCAGTATTTTCTTAACTATTCTTCCCTGTTTATTTTTACATATGAACTTTAGAATTACGGTGGTTTGGAAACCATCCCTTTGAGATGTTGATTGGAATTGTATTAAATGTGCCCACGTATTTGTAGGAGAAATCTATCTCTTGTCTTTCTCCCTCTGCCTCTGTCCTGATGCAAATCCTCGTCTCCCATCTGTAAAATAGCCTCCTCACTGGCTTCCAGGACAGTGCTCTCCCAGTTAGACTCTACATTGTCGTCAGAAAGATCTTATTAAAATGGTAAATTGGGGGTTCACTGCTTGAAATTGTTAAGTGACTACCCTTTCCATTCGGGACAAGGTTCTGTGATCTGGCCCTGGGCCGCCTCTCCTCTCACATGCACCAGACATTCCGAACTAAATGCTGTTCTTTGGAAGAGCTCCCATCTGATGTCTTCCTTCCCTCGCTTTTTGCAAAAGGATTCTGCCTAAAAAACCCTTCGTAGGCCTTCTTTGCCTGTCTTAACACCCCTCAGGCACTGCACCCTGACACTGCCTCTGGGAAGTACTTCCTGACCCAGCCACACTTCATCCCTGGTCTGGGTTACTTGCCATCCTCCAGGCCTCCAAACTTCTAGCAGGCATTGATCATATTGGTCCCTAATTTGTTTATTTACTCAAACCTTGAGCAAGTCATTTCTTCCTGGGTCTCAGTTTCTTCACCTACTAAAGAATAAAGCTGGACTCTGATCTGTAAGTCGGGATTCTTTCAGCTACAGTTTTATACCATAACTTCCCCCTTTTTGCTATATGTCCCTTGTTTCAAAACTAGTATGACTGACAATTGCCAAAAAAGCAAATTCCAAGTCAATATATGTTATGCTCATTCATACATGTGCCACATTGACTCTTCTGTCTAGGGGAATGAATGCCCATACTGATGACCTTGGAAAGCCATGGGATATTAAACTACCGTCTGAACCAAAGACAGAAATTATATCCAGCAGTATTTCTACTGAATTTATCGTAATTATTTAAAAATGAGTAAGCTATATATGCAGTGTGTAGATATTACTAATTTTGCCCATAACTAATGACTTAACCCATTCCCAAGTATTGTAGACAAATGACTTCAATGCAAAACATTTGAAGAATTGTTGGATAAGTCTAACTTGAGCAAGTATAGGATCAGAATTTTTGAAGCTAGAAAGGGTCCTCGGATCATCAAGGTCAGCCCTAACTTTAGATGAGGGAATCCACTCTAGCGGGCAGAGTGGCCTACCCTAAGGAACATAGCCCCTCCACACATGCCTATTAAAAGTGGAAACTGCAATAACTGTCTGCATACTAGCCACGTTAGGTAAAGCACCAGTGAACCACTAGGACAATAAACTTGTATTATTAAAGTGGAGGTTTGGTGGTGTTAAGGATTACAACAAATAAGCTTTAATCCCCTCTTTTACTGAGCTACTTTATTAAAGGGCGGGAGACCCTTTTCTTTGCTGCCACATCAAACTTAACTATGATTAGGCACCAACAACGTAGTCAGCATTAGACAGCACAGGAAATACCTGTAGTTCTTTATGTTTGTATAATTGCCTCAAGCATTAGTCACTTTTAAAAAATTACACACACATACTTAATACTGGACGACAGAATTTACTACCCTAAGTCTCTTTTCATTAAGATTTCACTTCATCACTAACAATTAAAATCCATCCCCCCAGCTGCCACCACCAAAGAGAACTTACTTAACCCACATATCCTTGAGGTAGACCAACGTTATCACTGTATTTCCCCTAATGAGGAAATTGAAGCCTTAGGCAACTAGCTCAAGACTAAAATGCAATTCGGAGAGAGTTCCTCTTACTGATTAAAATGGACTGATGTTATGAGGAAAAATCAAAAGGGTTTCAAAATTAGAAAATTCCATGGCACCAGGAAATAAGAATGACACATACTGATATCATCTTTTAGTTTGGCAGCACCTTTTTGATGAGAACTAAATGTTCATGTTGGCAGACAGTAAAACTACCACAAGCCTTGTTTCTTCAATTGCCAAGGACATGATGTTAAAGATTAACATTAAAATATGAAACATAGAACTGGAAAGCAAGCCAGTCCCTGCTTCGAGTAATTTTAATTCTATGAAGTTTAAAATAAACAACTTCCTTTGTTAACTTTGTTTGTCCTAGAAGCTGAGGTCGTTAGCTGTTTTCCAGCAGTGGTTCTACAAGTATGGTGTCTTGATCAACAGCACCAGCTCCTTGGAAAAGGTTAGAAATACAATTCCTCACCTGTAATCCCAGCACTTTGGGAGGCCAAGATGGGTGGATCACTTGAGGTCAGGAGTTCAAGACCGGCCTGACCAACATGATAAAACTCGTCTCTACTAAAAATACAAAATTAGCCGAGCGTGGTGGCACATGCCTGTAATCCCAGCTACTCAGGAAGCTGAGGCAGAATCACTTGAACCCGGGAGGCGGAGGTTGCAGTGAATGAGAGATCGGGTCATTGCACCACAGCTTGGGCGACAAGAGCGAAATTTCATCTCAAAAAGAAAAAAATAAAGAAATGCAATTCCTAGGCCGGGAGCGGTGGCTCAAGCCTGTAGTCCCAGCACTTTGGGAGGCCGAGACGGGCGGATCACGAGGTCAGGAAATCGAGACCATCCTGGCTAACACGGTGAAACCCAGTCTCTACTAAAAAATACAAAAAACTAGCCCGGCGAGGTGGCGGGAGCCTGTAGTCCCAGCTACTCGGGAGGCTGAGGCAGGAGAATGGCGTAAACCCGGGAGGCGGAGCTTGCAGTGAGCTGAGATCCGGCCACTGCACTCCAGCCTGGGCAACGGAGCGAGCTCCTCTCGAAAAAAAAAGAAAGAAATGCAATTCCTTAGGCCCCATCCAGACCTGCTGAATGAATCTCTGGAGATGGGGTTGGCTGGCTGTGTCTTAGTAAGTGCTAAAGTTTTAAGAACTACTAGAGGATCCAAATCACCTTTTTTAGGTGATCAGTCTCAAACCACTAATTAGCTGGACATGAGAAATTTCTGCTTTAGGTTAGTCACCCTACAGAGCCCCCTGAACCCTAAATATTAACAGTAGGCTCAAATCCAGGTTTCCATCTGCTAGACTCCAAAGCAAGGCAGCCATTATCCCTCTCAGTAGCCCTGCCACCAAATCCTCTTCTCTGAGAACCCCAAAACAGTTTGATTGACAAGTTCATTCTTCTCTCCTGTCAGACCTCGAAATGCGCCTAGTTCCTTAAAGGTAGTTGACCCATTGGTTTACAACTCTTCATTCCCTTCCTAAGAATGAGCACGTGTACTAAAACAAAATTAGTACATGTCATCCAAATATTGTCATGGTAATAAAATTCCTAAAATTAGGCATCTTGGTGCTTTATGTAGATGCAAACTTGAAAAGCAGCTATGTCCAAGTTTTCCTTTAGGATCCTCTCGAGAGATATTTTACAAACTCCTCTAGCATTGCTAATTATTTTCTTAAAAAAAAAGAGTCATTTTTTCAGATCTATAAATTTCATTTATTTTGAGGTTCATTCACATTCAGTAACAATCTGATCATTCACCAAAGTTCCAAAACACATACTTTATAAATTAATTATCATAGTTTTTAGAAATCCAAATATATGTCAAATTATTTTTTAATAGCAGCAACTAAGGATTTTTTATCATCTATCTTACTGTAGTGCTGATCGGGAATGTCGCCAACAAAGGTCCTGCGGTTTACAGATGGATACCGTGCAATTTTTCTCCTATGATACTAATCAAAATTGCATCGTGATCCACCCGACAACAGCAAAACAGATCATATTACAGTGACTAAATATCAGAACTTACAGCTTTTAAAAGTTAAAATAAGAAGACGATAAAAATCCTCCTTTCTTCCACAGGCCGGGACAAGTGCAATACTTTATATAGAACACAAGTAATGCAACAAATCCCCACCCAGGGATGAATGGGCATGAGTGCCGGAGATGCGCGTGAAGGTGTGTTCACACAGATGTAGGAAGCACACATTATCACAATCAGTTTTGCATGGATTTGCACAGCCACATATACATATATACGCTGAAATGCAAACCTGCAAAACTAATTGTAAGTAGCAATGTCTTTGAATATTCTCTCCATCAACAAGAGATTTGCTATCCAAGAGTACTGGAAGTGCCCACACTACAGTAGAGTCATGCCAAAACTACCTGCACTATGAGCACTTTGGTACTACTAGGACCCAATCTTATCCTCTGTTCACAACTGTACACTGCACAGTCCCCACCATCTGTTCCCAACAAACAATAAAAAAGCAAAAAACACACCATTGCAACGTGTCCTATTCAAATGACTACTCAAGGCATACTTTTAAAATGCTGTATATTAGGCAGCCTGTGCCAGAAGGGGCATTTAGGGCAGTAGATTCTAAGCTGCTTCACTAACTGCACTAGATGCACCTTAACACAAGAGACACATTATAAGAAGCAGCTCAAAAGCATCAACTACTTAATTATGCACAAACTACAGTTCTCAGTAGCCATTGATTAAATCACCATGGTAATGTAAGAAGTGCTTGCATTGCAGTAGATCTCAAAAAGCTACCTGCACTGTAAGCACTTTTACATGGCCAAGGCCTATTCCTGTAGCAAGATTTTAAGTCTTCTAGGAGCTCTTCTTTTCCGTCCTCACAGATCCAAGCAGACTCACCTGGTTAAAACAACAAAACACACACACACACATATTAGAAACTAAACAAGTAAACTACTAGTTAATATTCCTGAAACAGGCTTTCCTTTGGCTTACAGAGTCTAAGCTAGGTTTTGTGGTTTCAACCAAATCCTGAGAAATATTAATAATCTCAATTATTTACACAGAATTGAACACAAATAACACTGGCAACTGCAAAAAGTCCAATTCTTACGTATAAGAGGATTTTGGACTCCCCCTCTCCATCTAAGAAAATTTGCTATCTGTATCTCAGTAATTTGCAGGCCCATTCTATCCACCCTGATTTTATAAGAGGAGGACCTAGAGAAAGGAGCATGTAAAACTCAGGGTGAGTATTCGAGTCTTCAGATCATTCAGAGCTTTTGGGCTCCATAAGGAAAGTGACTATTAGATTAAATGAATATTCCCAGCCCCCACCCCATTAATAGAAAATGAGAGAAATTTTAGAGCTGGTTTAAGAAACACAGCCTTACAGTCTTCACATAATGCACAGATGGCTAAGAGATGTCACATTTTGATCTATTTCAAAGGGCTCTACTTCTGTTTAAACATTTATGGACCCATTTTCTCCATTAAACCAAAGTAGGCAGATTAGCTCTTCTTCTCTTCATGTCATTATCTTCCATAAGAAAACCTTCTCCCATTTCCAAGTGCTTATTTTACCTAAGAACATACAGCAAGGAGGTGAGCCTCTATGTGGAAAGGCTCCCCTAACTCTTCCATGATGGGGTAACTGTTGTTTAAAAGAAAAACAAAAATGTTTGGGACAGAATTTGTAATACGTTAAACGAGTGAGGGAATTTTAAATGTTGAACTTTCGTCACGATACCTCATGCCACTAAATGAGTCTAACAGTCTTTACAGACTAAACTGATTTAGAAACCTTATACATCGATCTGGAATCAATTTTCTATTAGGAAAGAATAGATTTAGTATAGAAATGAGAAAAATAACGTTTTTCCCCTTAAATTGGGTTTCTACACCTGTAAAGATTTCTTTTCCATTAAAAACAAAAATACGCCAAACTTGACTCAAAATGCATAGTATTTGCCAACTCAACCTGGCCAAACTGAGCCCCACAGCCATCAGACAGGGTGCTCTTCTAATTACTACCTTTTGCTAATTACCGGTTCATCTGGTATACCTCGCGCACGCTGGGCAGTCACTCTCCAAAAAAAAAAAAAAAAGGAAAAGAAAGAAGAAGTCCTTCCCTGTATGCCTTTGTGGCTCCCTTTTGCCTCTTCCCGCGTCTCTCACACCCTTACCTAATGCTCCCGTTGAAGTCCGCCAGCAGCCCGCGCGTCCAGGGTGTGCTCCAGCTGCTCACACCACGCGCTCCCGTCCTCGTGCTGCCGCAGCCACCGCCGAAATTAAAGAGAAAGAAACAAAGCATCATGGGAAACGGAGTTCTCCATTCAAAGCACCAAAAACGCGCCAAGCCCACGCCTCCCTCCCCCTCCATTCTCGGGTTGGTGGGAGAGAAGCCAAGGGGGAGGGGAGTCCCTTTTTTCCCTCCACGTGCACCTCCTCGTTTCACACCCCCACCAGCAAAGTTTTCCAGGAACCTAAAGGTCAACGGTGGAGAAGAAAAGGGGAGTCTTTTCCCGCGCGCTGCCCGCTACCCCTCAACCGCACTCTGGTACTTTGCTTTTCTCAAGTCCCGCCCGCTCCGTCCCCTCCCACCCAACCAGTCAACTCTCCGGATCACAGCTGCCCCAACGAAGGGATCCCTTCTTGCCCAGCCACCCGCTCGAGTAACCGTGCGTGGGACCCGGCTCCGGCCCGCCCCTCGCAGGTGGAGAGCGCGGCGATCCCGCACGGGCCACCCTCTCCGGGTGTCCCCTCCCCACGTACACCCCGGGTCCCGGCGCACAGCCCGAGCGCTCCGGGGCCGGGTGCGAGAGCAGTCTCCCGCGGAGCCAGAGGGGGAAGAGAAGCGAGAAAAAGTGTCCACTAAATGGATCAGGGCCGCGAGCGCACATCTCACCCCAAAGTGCCCCTGTCCAGAGCGACGCGGGGCCACGAGCCTCCCTGCCACCACTTGAGGAGCGCTCCGTCCCCTCGGCCCTCTGTCCGTAGCTATATCCCTGGGAAAAGCCCGCCCCTCTGCCTTTAATAGCCCAGGGAAAAAAGCCCGCCCCCGCCCACCCGGCCCGCACAGGAATTAGGAAACGGAACCCCCACCCCGCCAAAGCGAAAACCCCACCGAGCACCCCGTTACCCACGGGCGGAACGCAGTCGGCATTCTCCCTTCTCTCTTCCCCCCAAGCTGGAGTCCTTAATTAAAGGCGCGCCTGGGACACCGGCCCAGGCAGAGGCCGTGGCCGGAGCCGGTGCGGGTGCCACCGGCATCCGGGCCAGGATGGCGCACTCACTACCACCTTGTCCCGTCTCGCTCCTGCGGCGCTCGCCTCAGCCCCCCACCGGAGACAGACGACGAGGCCCACGGAGCCGTGGGACAGGGGTGTCCCCAACCCGGCGCGCGCATGCGCGCCACCTCGCCGCTAGATTGAAAGTGTTCCTAAGGCCCGAGGAGGGAAGAAATACACACACGACTTACTCCATGCACATGCGAAAGTTTTAACCCCTAGCACCTTGTGCTACTGTTGGAAGTCTTTCGCCCTTGCCAGGCGCCCTCCTCACCCACTAAATCAGGGTTTCTTGGCAGGTATCGTTAACGGTAGCAGCCACCGAATACACGCGCAAATGTGCGGAAGATACGGTGCAATTATCTTGCTTTCTCCTCTCATTCCACCGCTAATGAGAACCAATTCAGGGCGGGCTGCTTCAAGGCCAAAGCCCGACAGCGCTCTGTAGAATAAAATGATGTCTTAGTTTAAGACGCACAATCAAAATGGAATTAAGCATACCAGACTTGGAACACCGGGCAATATGAGAGACAAACAGGCTAAATACTTTCTCCGTGTCCCTGGCGGACACAGGCGCAAGATGGGATTTGGGGAGCGTGGGCGGGGGGGTGGGCGGAGGTGTGCAGGGGGGGACAAGGTTACAAATCAGAGACCAGTGAGCACGCTAGTTCGGAGGAGGAAAGCCCTGGAAGGCAAGAGTTGGTAAGGAAGGAGGTAAGGGGTGCAAAATGAAGCCGGACCCCTCCCTTTCCACTATTGTTACCAGGGTGATTGTGGCAGCCCAAAGCCCAGAAGACGACAAGGGCGCCATGTGATTCTCAACCTGGTGCACTGGTGCACAGTAGTAGCTCAGGCAAACAGATTACAAAAGACTGGCCTCTCCTGCCCCTGGCCCGCGAAAGAGTCCAACCTGAACTGGGCCAGCGCCCCTCAGGAGTCAGTGGTGGATGCAACGAAAACCACAATCATTTCTCCAACGTGAATCACTCGCACAGGTGGGCTTCCTCTCCTTTTTCATACAACAGACCTTGCAGCCTACCCTGGCACGTCTGCGTGATACTTTCTAGAAACTACGCAGCCCGAAGTTTACTACCCAACCAGATTCCTCCTGTAAGACTGCACCGACTGCAATGCAACTTTCGACCTTTAATGGTAACGACTAGCAGTGGAAAGAAGAGGAGGGGGAGGGAAGAGAACTTAGACCCGACGTTAAGAAGCATTGTATTAAAGCAAGATAAGAACAGTACCTTTGAGCTGGAGCAAAACCTGGAGTAAAAAAAAGAGTTTTTGCGAAAGTGGCGCGAAGATAATATCATGTGATCCGACCCCAGGGCGTCTCCTTCCCCTTTTGCCAAACTCCCCTCCCCTCGAAAAAAGGGGGGTTGGGGGAGTTACATCCGCTCCTCACAAACTATTAGCATAATTAATTGTGTCCTACAGCTGCAGCCAGAGCTCCCGGGTCAATGAGTAAACTATCCTCAACCTCTTCAACATCAGAACAAAAAAACCCATTACCCTGATTTTGGAAAATGTTCCCAAATAAATCTCATTATCCTCAAAAGTCTTTATTTGGCATTCGGACTCTATGTGTCTTGGTTGGAGAGACAGAAGAGGGTTGGAAAAGATGAAATCATCCTATTAAAGGGAACAAGTAGAAGTAACTCCCCAAGAGTGACATATTTGAGTAAAGGTTTTCAAATGGAAATACCGTGTTGAGGGACCTCACTAGCTTCAAATTTTCCAAAAGTTTTAGCAGTTCATTAAACAAGACATCCTCCCAGTCTTCCTATTCGCCACCCCCATCTCCCACCCCTCCTCCCAGCCCTCCTTCCCTTTAAAGCTAGAACAATACCCGGAATAAGGTATTTTGAGATTGCTTTACCAGGATATTTTCTTGTTCTTAATTTTTTTAAGGGTTTGCAACATATAGAATGCCTGGATCAAGTTCCCAACTGACGAAAATAATTTATTCCATCTCAGTACCTGTCTAGCACAAGGTAAAATTAACTAAGTACAAGATATAGGTTATGAGAAACTAGGACATTTTGATACACCAAATGATTTATTTTTGTCTTTTTCTTTTGGAAAAAAAATTTAATCATCAGCCAAAATACCTAGAGAATTAAAAAAAAAAAAATCTAAAGAACAAAGCATTTCACACACACACCCCCAAAAAGTCAGAATAACTAACAGCTCAAAGAAAAGCACGTGATCCCTTCATGCTTTAAAACTTGTGGTCATGCTGAGGCTAAAAGCAAAGAGCTTGTGACCCTGCAACCCCGTCCCCTCCCCCAGACCACAGCCCAGGGCTTAAGGCTCCAGGCTCCCACCGGGCTCCTGCTCGCTCCCAGTATTGTGAGACAAACAATACTTAGGCATTCTGCAAAATAAAGGAGCCACAACTCCTATTCCCCAGTCACATCATTTATGGCCAAACAGACTGGCCAGTGTGCATATATACACATATATATGTATATATGATATAGAATACATGCCTACATGAAAGCCCAGATGTTCTATCAGAATGTGTAAGAAAAGTATAGAAACTGGCCAAAGGGAGGGAGAACTTGTTATCTTTCGTGAGCCTAAGGATTCTCATCACAACTTTAAATTCTTGACACTATTTTGAGTTTATGGTGGATTCAAAGAAAAGCAGATGAATGCCCCAGCAAAATATTCCCTGCAAAATAGACCCACTTTGAGCTTTCCTCTGCCTTGATAAGGGATGAAGGGATTCTTCTGTATTGACCTCTAGATTTAATTATACCATATAAAGCAGCAATCTCAAGTAGTTTGGATTTGAACACCTTTAAGAATACTGGTAATTGACATTTTACCCAGTTGAGAAATCATGTTACTTGATTTAGAAATAATATTAAGTGGCTGCGTTAAACCTGATGATTGGTATCTTAGAACAAAAAGGTCCCCATGGAAACCAGAAAGTAATTTAAGAGTATTATGTTCCTCACACAACTAGAATAGAGCTTTTGTTCTATGTGTATTTACTACTCTACATTTTTGAACTACACTTGCAGTTAAGGTCTGTTACACTCTGGCTTTGCTCAGGATGAGAAGTTTAGTGTCCCACTGAAATATGTGTTTTGCTACATTTATGTGGTTGTGTGTTCATGTGTTCATGTGCATGCCCATGAGGCCTAAAACAAAGCCAGCAGATCAGAACACTCACTAAACAGACTAGGGGTGGAGGGTCCCAAATGAAATATTTCAAATGCTATTTTGCCATTTGATCCTAGAGCAGGAACTGTGATTTCATTAGAAGTCTATCAAAACCGGTCTTTACTAACTTTATTTTTTAAACGAAGTATTCCTTTATTTGCAAACATTTCATAGTTTTTAGATGAATCAATCTTCTTTTGAATGGCAATCATATTAACACAAATCAGCCTGAAAAAATGAAATTTGAATTTTTTGGACCAGACCTTAATTTGTTTATGAAAATTTATATCAGCAGAACAAAGACAAAAATTAGACTCAGTAATGAATTTCTGAATGTTATTTCTTTTCAATAGCATATGCCAACATAAATCATGTAAATAAAATAAATACATCTTCAACTAAATAGCGTCCATGTGAATTAAATATCAATTTCAAAAGATTTGCCACTTGATAAGAAGCAGAAAATTTCACTAATTGAACATGCATAGTTAATATAACTTGGTTTAAAAAATGTAGAAAGTAAAAATATACTTATTCCAATCTCAAAGGATTTTATGAAGACCAAATGGCACCAAGAGGTGGATCAACTTTTCTGATATACAAATACATTTAAAATACACATTTTACTAAATTGTACTTGTAAGTAAACTTTACTTTTACAAGCTGGTCTTTGCTAACTTTGATCTTTTAGAATAAGTGTCTATTTACAAACATTTCTTATCTCTACTAATGATTTAATCTTATTTTTAATCAAAAGGGTAATTAAATTACAATACAATTAAATTACATCTCACATAATTCAGTTGAAATATGTTGGTACTAGAACTTACAACATGGAGCTAATTTTGCTATTACGTGATGCCTTAAAATTACCTTGTTGTGTGGGTCTTTCCTTCTCTCAGTAGTATGTTAAAACACAATTTCCTTTCACTAACAACTGTATTTTTTAGTCGAATATTTTACATCAAAATACATGTGCAAATATTGAAAAGATACAAGAATAACCTGCTTGCCATCAGTAGAAAAATTATTTCTCAAATTAATTCTCCCACCTTGAGAATAGACTCAGTAGACATTAAAGTGATTCACTATTAAGATTAAATAGTGTTAAAGGTATTTTTACACTCTGTTTGAAACACTTTGATTTTCCTGTTTATGTGACCTTAGAAGTGGAACTTCTGGTATTACAAACCATAAAATTGCTAGCAGACTGTAATACTATAATCAAAGAAAAAGCTATAAACCAGAAATGTTTTACACAGATCACTTTTTTCAATCACTTTTCTGATTAAGTTTGTCCATCTTTGCACCATTGTAAATTTTCTAAGTGGAAAATATATCATGGTATGGAACACAATAAAAGTTAAAGTTTTACATTCAAAACACAGTCTCTAAAATCTCATCACCATAATAACATTGTCTTCCAAAGCAAGTAAATCATGGTGTTAAAAATTATCTCATTATTTAATAATCTTACACCAATAAGTCTGTTACTGACAATGTCATGATTGAGAAGTAAA